TCGCTTAGGTTACTTAGGTGTCACCCATAAATAGATTTGGATTCAGCATAATGAATGCAAGTGGAATTATGGAAAAAGTGTTTTAATGTTTGTAATTATATATGCATATATACAGTAATGCTTAATCAAAAGTCAATTTAAATAATTTCAAATAAAAGGTATATAGACCACATATGATTTCACATTTTCGAAGAGATGAATTTAATAGAACTCATACTTGAAGCTCAAACAGGCTATTCATATAAATACATTGTTGCTCAATTCATGGAATATCATGAAAGTTGCAAGAGAATTTTGAGAGATCAGTGGTGATTTCTCATCCATGATTGTAGTGATTGTAGCTCATGGATCATCTCTTTAAAGAGGCTAAGATTTTGTTTGGGACAACTTTCTTATTACTTTTAAATAATTTTGATCCATAAATTATTTGAAGGATATTTAGGCAAATAAAAATATAAAAGATATACTTATTTGAATAGAAGTCTTAAAAGGGATAAAGAAATAAATTTCTTTAAAATATGATAAAAATAGGTAATTATATATAAATTATTTTAAATATATTGTTGATCTTTGTAACTTAACCCAAAAGAAATAAAATAAAAAAGGGGGTTTGTGATGATGACTTGCCGAGCCCGTGTCAAAAATCCTGCAGATATCCCGCCTCCTACTAGAGTCGCCATGCCCTGCGAGTGGCGTCAAAAATGTCCCTTCACGCATGCTTTGCCTCGATCGCCTCCTACTCGAGTCATTAAGGAAGAAATGAAGTCATTGGTTTCTGTTTTTTCCCACTCACAAACTACAGCAGAAGATCATCTCCCTCCTCCTTATTTCCATGACAACTGCTCTCTCCCGCATATCCACTCGTAGAAAACCTTCCACATATAGCCGAAATCCATTCATCTTCATCTGAACCTTACTGCCTCTGATCAAACCCCGACCGAACTCCTACAAGCCGACCAACCCCAGGAAAACTCCAAGCGTGTCGATTGACCCCATCTTCCGATCCGTCCCTAGCCACAGCTACCTCTCCCAGTAGGCGTCCAACTCTTAAAACCTCTAACACATACCCACGCGAATAGATCCCGACTGGACTTATCCCACCAAGCCCAACTCTACTTACCTGTAGCCACGACCAAGCTAAGCTCTCTAGCCTCCTTCCTCTTATCTCTGGTCGACCCCACATCAGCAGTCGCAAACCCGCCGCCCTCTCTACCTTCTCTCTGAATCTCATAACCCTAGTCGAGCTCGCCTCCTCCATTGCCTCCGACTTCTATAGTCAAATCCAGAGAGGGTAATCTCTCTCTCTCTCTCTCTCTCTCACACACTTTTTATTTATTTATATGTATTATTATTATTAGTGTTAATATTAATATTAATGTTGTATTATTATTTATAATATTATTATTGTTATTATCTTCATTAATCATATAATTAATGTTGTATAATAGTAATAATATAATAATTTAATTGTAATATAATTATAATATTAATATTATTATTATTAACAATAGAAAAAATTCTTGCCTCAATTTTTTGTGCCAACTCCATCGATGTTTCCTTTGCTAAGGTATAAGTTCTAAACTTTGAAAACATGTCCTTGACGCTTGCAGCGCGATGAAACAACCAACTATACATACTTTTCTTAACGTGATGGGAGAAAGTTTGTTGCAGTGCTTGCGACGAAGCGAGAAATCATCAAATGCCCCACTTTTGGCATTCGCGATGCACCAAAAACAACATGTACACGATTGGTGATCTATCTTGTCCAAATTAAATGCAAGAAAGCATATACAAGACTTGTAATGAATATAGAGCCTACAAACACCATTTACTCACAAATGATGATGATGAACCATGCAATCAAATACCAAATGTTAACCAAAGAAAAATTTGAATCATTCAAATCTCATGCAAGTAAACAAAGACTCATGGTGTGGGAAATCTCTAGCATCTCATCCACAAAATAGTGAAGTTAAGATGGTTTATTAATAGTTGCATCAAACCTTTGTAAATTGTTGAGGCTGCTGAGTTTAATAAGATATCAATAGACATGAGTAAAGAAGTTGTGATGAACATGTCCCAAACATGTTCCACCTACGAATGATGAAAAAGGAAGCAGCAAAAGAATACACTTTGATTGCCAATATTGATTTGAAGTTCTCTTCAATGAATATCGTTGTAAGAAACACTGCAGAACACCTCAATCATGAATAATGACCAATATGGAGTGAATAAATGATGCAAACAGGTGATGCTGATTGCAAGAAAACATCTATGATACAAGTCCACCATACACATTGCATGTCATCTATAAGGAGAAATGAAAAAAGGACTGTAACAAATACCGAAGACATTCCGGAAGATGTAGTGTCCTGCAGTCAGCACCAATTTGTGGATGAACACAATGAAATTAGCAAGGAAAAATACACTAATATTTTGTAAGCAAAGGTAGAGGACATGTAGCAAGTGTGGACACCTACGGGCTGCTATAGGAGATCCGTCATGTGAACAACATGTGTTGTAGGAAACCCTTTATGAGCTCAACGCACTCTACCTACAAGCAGAAGGGGTCAATGTGTAATGAATATGATGATCAAACGCATATAGGATAGATGCAACGTACTACCTGCAAGCTGGCATAGCAAAAGGAAATGAATGATATGAAACTTCTTACAATTCATTACAGTTCAATGTTGAATAAATAAATTACTCCATTGCAAGCAAGAACAAATGGTATGTAACAAATTCAAATGCCTACGATCTACTGCAATGGGGCCCATCAAACACAACAAGTTATTTTTAAGCAAGCACAAAAGCTCATAATGAGTGCAAGCATCTACAAGTAAAGCAGAAGATTTGTTAGTGCATAACAAGCTACCTAAGAAAGCAACAAGCAGTGCATCAAAGTCTACCTGCATAAAGTAGCAAATAATTCAATTCATAAGCTGATGCAACATGCCACCGACAAAAAAGATACAAGGGAGCTACGACAAATGATATTATCTACCAGTGAAAGCAGGAGATTTATTAGTGTACTGTAATTTACATACATAAAGCAACGAGTCGTATATGACAATCTACCTATATAAAATAAGTAAACAACTGTAGTGCTATACAACGCCATCGGATCTGTAACATCCTTACAAGTGAACAAAAGCCGTGTATGAGCTTCCAAATAGAATGCTACATTCAAATGGTGATCATCCGTGCAGCTGATTGACATCAAAATATTCTAAAAATGTCATCGCATATGCACCGTAATTTGTAGGCACATAGGTACACAAAAGGGTAGCTGCAATCATAAAACATGTATGGGCCCTAGTGAGTATATGGCAACACACATGATGTCCAAGGATGCTACGCAGGCCAATAAATGAACATAGTCCAACCCCGATTCTTCTATACAGATAGATAGGATTCAACACGGCTCGAACTATCAAACAAAAATATAATTAGGGTGTCAACCATAATATCTATGTTATACGCTCTTATAATTCCTTCAACAAAACTAATTCATCAACAAAAACATAAAGCCTATGAAACATTTTCCTCTGTCAGCAAGTCGACAGAGTCGATAAGGTTTAATTTATAACTAAAAATAATCCTACACACCCCGATGATGGCCATATTGAACGCTTTTATCAACCGGAGGGGTTAACCCCAAATACTTCAAAATGCCTCCCAAACTCCTATAAAACTAAAATATTTTCAAATGATCCCAAACACCCCGATGATGGCTGTGTTGAATGCAGATCTGAACCAGAGAGGTCAATTTCAAATATCCAAAATGCCACCCAAACTTTAAGAAATTTCCAAAACCTAAAAAATCCAAATATTTAAAATCGAAATGAACCACTAAATGCTTAAAATAAAATTCATCCACCTTCTGCAATAGTTTGTCAAGGTGAACAAATTTAAAAAACTATTTCAGCTCACATAGAGCTAATGTCCGGTCGAGAATATCACTATGATTCATTCTCAAAATTATATCCTTCCATTAAGTACGTGGTACGTGTCCTCTAATCGAATGTTTCACTGCCAAATAGCACTGTATGTAAATGATTATGCCCCGGGACCCTATAAACCGAGTATTCTTGCTGCCAAATGGCACTACGAGATAACGATTATGGCTAGAGCCAATATGTTACGTAGTGGCATCAAATCTTTGAGATATAAATCAATATGATATAATCAATAAGGCACAAATCTCTCTGTTAGCTAAAGTGGATTCAAATTTGTTCCTTTAGACAAATACTCACACCAAGTCTACAAGGTCTCCTCGAACAAATTAATTCATGGTTGTCGAAAATGATTCTTCTATCAGGTTGGGTTGACTACCTCATCTAACTAAGTAGACCAGGGACCACGATAGCCCGGGACGATGGAACCATGGGATCTTGATCGGGTTCATCATCCATTCCCCCACCATCAGCTTTAAGTACAAGATGGGGAAATGTTCAATTTTAAATATCAACCATCTAAATTCTCAAACCCATGCTGCGACTATATGCCAGATACCACATATCCATGGATACGACGTCTTCATCGATGACTAGCTTTAATCGAAAGTTCTCTCTTGTGATCAGGAGGGATAATTAAGTATAAGGGCTTGGGCTTATAGGAAACCAAAACTCAGATCATAAAATCCTACAAAAATGAGGGCGAAATCTCTGGGTAGTGTCTTATCTATAGACACATCTATCTTCCTAAAATTTACCTTGAAGAATAATCCGTTAAAACTTCCCCAAAGAAAAGTAGCAGCGGGGAGGCCAGGGCTAAATTTTTGGAGCCCACATATATCTATCTAAAAAAACTAATACTCATCATTTTCTTAATATCAAACCACCATGTTTGTACATGTCTCAAATTATAGAAATAATAATAAAAAAAAGATTTTGAAATTTTATTATTAATTTTAATATTTAAATGATAATTAAAAAAAATACCTTTATAAATACTTAGAAAGATGAATGTTTTATGCATATGTGCCCCATAAAAAAACTAAAAGCAAAATCAAATTTTGCCGAGTGGCCGATTAAAAACAGAAACCTCCCTGTTTTTCTGCTCTCTCCAGCGTCTCTCCCAAGTCTCAATCAACGGACGTTTTACCTCTCACTTCAGATTCTGTTCAGAAATTGAAAGCAACGAAGGCGAAACTTCTGCCGGTTCGGCCTCCTGCTTCTTGTGTGGTGAGGCATTGCTTGGAGTTACCGGCGATCGTAGGGATCAGCCTCAAGAATCGTGACGCGAATCATGTCTGCCATAGTCTGCAGAAAGAGATCTAATTATGCCTTCGATGAGCTTCAGCACACCCCTCCCTCAGCTTCTAAGAGAAGCCGCTGCTCTACCGGCACCGCGTCTCCACCATCGAGCTCCGCCTCAGTTTACTCCTCTTTGAGCGCAAATGCATCCCCTTCCTTCACCCCGCCAAACGTTTCTGATTCTGCGGGAAACAATGACAATGTTCTAAATCATCTCAGAAAACTCTTTCCTCATGTGGAGCAGCAGGTAGTCTATCTATTATATGTCCCTTTACTTTCAAAATTATTGCTGTTACATGAAAAATATAAATGGGCAACTAATTGATTAAAGTCCCCTTCCTTTTTTTGTAAGCCTGATCGTATCAAACAATTGATATTATGATTTTTCAACGGTGGCTTTAGGCATTTGGTTTTGTTCGATTTTAGTGTTAGCTCCTCGGAGTTGATCGCTGACACTAACTGATTTTTTTTAAATTTTACCTGGTTCTTCTTCTCCGTGATTTGTAAAATTGAGAGTGTGTCGGATGTTTCGGGACGGTTAACCAAAGTTCTTTGCTTTCTCATGTTTAAAAGTGAAATAATATTTTTTGAATAATAAAAAACCTTTTTATTTATTTTATCAGATTAAGTTTGATAAGTAATTGGTGCTAGCATCTTGTTGATTGAGTTGGAGATGAGAAAGTGGTCGCTTTCAACTGAGGATTTACATTTTTCTAATTTCTATCAATTATAAATGACTATGATGCTCTGACACTTTTCCCAAAGAGCCGTACAGTGTCCGATACGTATCTGACACAACACGCATCCTATGATGCCCCAAGATCTAATTTGGAAGAATTATTTATTTAATCATTTAATAATCAACAACCAGAGCTATCTATGTCATCCATAAGTAAATAACAGTACAACATATTATATAATTTAGAACATCAATGTACACATATATATATTCATTCACAAAAGTCATTTACATTACTCAGGATCTTCACAATTTTCACATATCCATCATGTCCTGAGTACAAAAAGAATCACTATATCAAAAAAAAAAAGAACAGAACCTGAAGAACCCTGATCAATTTCATACTCCTGCTCCCTTGCCCCGACCTAAAATCATTAACCACATATAATGAGCTTAAAAACCCCAGCATGTCACCAACCTACAACTGAAATCAAAACATGGTACAGAAGTAATATGCATATCAATTAGTCAAATCATATCAATCAAATAATAGCAATCACTTACACATGAGCATCGAGACAATACAGAAATAGAAATCAATATAGAAACAATAATATCCACAATCAACAGTAATAAATTTTGTAAATAGTATAAAAGTCCATAAAACAATAAACTCGTGCATATACCAGATCTCTACAGTAATCTTCGTATTTATAACCTCAGTCAAATCACTAAAGAAAGCATCGTTTCTATAATATCAGTACAATATAAAATCGTATACAATGTCAAATCAATACGTCGATAATGACTATTGAAATAAAATCAATGCAGTAAAATCATATCAGTATGTAAACGTGTTATCCAGTTATTCTATATCACTTACTGAGTGTACCATATGCATAAGATCAGTACAATGAATCAGTAGTATCAAATAATATCAGTATTTGTATTAGTATCAGTGATAATCCAGTAACAAAAACAGTAATGCAATAACAGTGAAATCGTGTAGTAACAGTAAATCCGTATAGTGACGATAAATCCAGGCAGAACAATAAAACCATACAGTAATGATAAATCCGTACAATAATAAGAACAATGCTTCAAAACATGCATTTAAGTACAGTAGTCATACTAAACAAGTAGAAGTAGAAGAGCTGGCTATTACAGTGTTTTTCAGTCTTGTATCATTATCAGTATTATTATCCGTTGACTCAGTAAATAGAGTCGTCACTTTTTGCCCGTCGACACAGTAATCATCTCCTTATAACTCCTAATCAGTATCACGTGAATCAGTAGAGGATAACACCAAACCATCTTTAAAGGAAAGCCCGTCGGCCCACCATCCTGTACAGTTCGATCAGTCTCCAACCAACAGTTCAACCAGTCTTTTCTTGTCTTTTACACACACAATAATATCACAGTAATATAACAGTACTTTCAATAATGCAACCACATTCATTTTCATCTCATCAATGCATAATATCAAATAAATATGTATCAAAAATATCATCAGATCGTATAACAACAGACACAAAAAATCCATTGAATCAAAATGCAGAGTTTCAAAAAATTATCAAATTACCAGAGATCGTGTAAAACATCGTTTCAAAGTTTTTATTGTACTGAAGCACTATTTTCTGACATTCAGATAATTTTCTATTCAATAAAAATCCCGCAGAATTCAGAATACCCGATGAAAAATATTCAGAAAATATTCAAAACGTGTAAAATCTAACATACAAAAAGTTACGTGGTGAAAGTTTCGTCAATACAAAGATATGCATGTTTTTATGTAACAGAAACACAAATATGAGCAAAAAAATATCAAAACACAAAATCTTTGAAATCAGAAATAGGATATGGTTTCCTTACTGCGAGATGAGCAATTCTTCTAACTGCGTCGACAGAAGAAAATCGTTCCGCAGCCTCCAAAACCAAGCTTTTTCTTTTCTTCCTTCTCTTTCTCTCTCCTCTTTCTCTTTCTTCAAAACGAGTCAAACGGTGGATTTAAAAGATATTTTCGATCTTACGGACAATATTTTTTTTATCCCAGGACGATCTCCTCTGTCCACATATCATACGAACGATAATTAATTTCATCCCTAGTCGATGAGTTCTGTCAAAAATTTTTCAGTTCGTGCAGACGAACTCAGTTCATACTGTCGGTTCGTACAGACAAACTTGCACCAAAAATCTTGAATTTCAAGGGTTCTCACAATCTACCCACCTTAAGAAAAATGTCGTCCCCGACATTTCCCTTAAGGACTCGAACATAAAATCGATAGAAAAATAAATTCGTCCAATCAAAACTTAAATCAAATTAAATCAAGACTAAAACTCGTCAAAATCAAATAGTCATACAGTTCATTCTATCACATGTCATTCAACTATGCATGAAAACTAATGCACCTTAATTTATCCAACTTTTAATCAAATCCCACAGCTCTGGTAACATTCAATTCTTCCAATAATACTGCTCTGATACTAATTTGTGATGTCCCATGATCTAATTTGGAAGAATTATTCATTTAATAATCAACAATCAGAGCTATCTATGTCATCCATCAGTAAATAACATTATAATATATTCTATAATTTAGAACATCAATGTACACATATATATTCATTTTCAAAAGTCATTTACATTACTCAAGATCTTCACAATTACATGTATCCATCATGTCCTGAGTATAAAAAGAATCACTATATCAAAAAAAAGAACAGAACTCGAAGAACCCTGATTAATCTCACACTCCTGCTCTTTTGCCCCGATCTGAAATCATTAACAACATATAATGAGCTTAAAAAGCCCAGCAGGTCACCAACCTACAACTGAAATCAAAGCACGATATAGAAGCAATATGTATGTCAATCAATCAAATCATAGTAGTAACTTACACATGATCATTCAGTCAATGCAGAAAGAGAAATCAGTACAGAAATAATAATATCCACAATCGACAGTAATAAATTATGCAAACAGTATAAAAGTTTATAAAGCAATAAACCCGTGTATATGCCAGATATCTACAGTAATCGTCATATCTATAACCTCAGTCAAATCACTAAAGAAAGCATCGCATCCATAATATCATTACATTATAAAATCTTATACAATGTCAAATCAATACATCGATAATGACTGTTGAAATCAAATCAATGCAGTAAAATCATACATAATGTAAATGTGCTATACAATTATTCTATATCACTTACTCAGTGTATCACATGCATAAGATCAATACAATAAATCAATAGTATCAAATAGTACCAGTGTCTGTATCAGTATCAGTGACAATCCAGTGACAGAAACAGTAATGCAATAAGAGTGAAATCGAGTAGTAACAGTAAATCTATATAGTGACGATAAATCCGGGCAGAACAATAAAACTGTACAGTAACAATAAATTCGTACAATAATAAGAACAATATTTCAAAACATGTATTTCAGTACAGTAGTCATACTAAATAAGTAGAAGTAGAAGAGCTGGCTATTATGGTGTTTTTAGTCTTGTATCAGTATCAGTCTCATTATCTGTTGGCTTCATAAACAGAGCCGTCACTCTTTGCCCGTCGGCACAGTAATCATCTCCTTATAACTCCCAAAGTATCACGTGAATTAGTAGAGGATAACACCAAACCATCTTTAAAGGAAAGCCCGTCGGCCCACCATCATGTACAGGTCAATCAGTCTCCAACCAACGATTCAACTAGTCTTTACTTGTCTTTTACACTTAGTAATATCACAGTAATATAACAGTACTTTCAATCATGTAACCACATTCATTTTCATCTCATCAATGTATAATATAAAACAAACATGTATTAAAAATATCATCAGATCGTATAAAGACAGACAACAAAAAATCCATTGAATTAAAATGCACAGTTTCAGAAAATTATTAAATTACCAGAGATCGTGTAAAACAACATTTCAAAACTTTTATTATACTGAAACACTATTTTCCGACATTCAAATAATTTTCTATTCAATAAAAATCCTGTAGAATTCAAAATGCCCGGTGAAAAATTTCCAGAAAATATTCAAAATGTGCAAAATCATATTCTCTATAACATATAAAAAGTTAAGCATTGAAAGTTTCGTCAATACAAAGATATGCACGTTTTTCTGTAACGGAAACACAAATCTGAGCAGAAAAATATCAAAACAAGAAATTTTCAAAATCAGAAATAGGATATGGATTCCTTTCTACGAGATGAGCAATTCCTCCAACTGCGTTGATGGACAAAAATCGCTCCGCAGCCTCCGAAACCAAGCATTTTCCTTTTATTCATTCTCTTTCTCTCTCCTCTTTCTCTTTCTTCAAAACAAGTCAAACGGTGGATTTAAAACATATTTTCAATCATACGGATGATATTTTTCTTTCTTCCCGGGACGATCTCCTATGTCCACATATCGTACGGACGATAATTAATTTCGTCCCTGGACGATAAGCTCTGTCAAAAATTTATTCAGTTCGTACAGATGAACTCAGTTCGTACTGACGGTTCATACAGACGAAGAATGTACCAAAAATCTTGAATTTTAAGGGTTCTCACACATCTGACATGTCTCCAACACGTGTTGGACACGTCGAAAACGTGTCTGATTAAAAAAATATTATATGCAAATTAGAAACGCGTCTTAAATATTTTGTGAAAAAATGTTTAAATATAATTTCTTGTATTTTAATTTTTTTTTTTAAAATATAAACTAAATTTTTTTATTTTTTATCTATAAAACCCCCGTAATCAATACCCAATTCATCGAATATTCTTATTTTCATTTCTCTTTAGCTGCTTGCAACTTTGGTTTCATAACAATATCCGATGTCATCTCAACATCGACATCTGATGTCGTTACAACATCGACATTTCAAAACTATCTCAACATCAAAGTGTGACATTGTTTGGCATTGATGCTCAATGCTAGTAATTTCTATACCCATAACTTAACAATTTATCTTTGTCCGAAGTTGTCTTAATATTGACGACTAACGCCCTTTCAACATCGACGACAAATGCCTTCTTGACATCGACGCCCAACACTTACTGCATAACATTGATGCCTAACCCTCGACAACAATGTCATCTCCTCTCTTGGTGCTTGATACACTACATCAACGCCCAACTTTTGAAATCCTAATTTTAATCATTTTAAGCATAAATTCTAGTTAAATGAGTTATTATTTATAATTATTTTTAATATTATACTTATTCAATTTTTATACACTATTTTAAAATATAAAAATTAGAATGCCGTGTCCAACTCGTATCCATATCCTATATTTTAAACAATTAACATGTCTTGTGTCCGTATCGTCGTGTCCGTGTCTTTGCATCATAGATAAATGGTCATATGTTCTGCTCTTGCAAAATGCATCCATGTGAGATTCATGTACTTAATGCAAGCATTGATAACTGATACATACAATTATATTACATATGTTAGGATTGTATATGCTAAAATGAAATTCAAATACTAAATAGCTTTTTTTCGGAAACTACTAGAGAATTTTTTTACTTCTCACTTAAGCTGTTTCTTTGTGGTTGCTAATTATCATTTGTATATTATTTTGATTCATTTAGCAATAAATGATAATGATTTCCTATTACACTCGATTGATAGCTGTTTCATGTATATAAAAGTAACAACAATAAATATTCTTGCGGAATTTACATTATTGATCTTTAGAATTTTGCACTCTGGTTTTACCTACAACATCTCATTATGCCAGTATCTTGAAAGAGCGTTTGAAGCTTCTGGAAATGATTTAGATTCTGCCATTAGCAATCTAAATGATATCTGCTTAGAACTAGCTGCAAAAAGAACCGATGATAGAGCTGGAGTAAATGTGGAAATTTTGTCTATAGGTATGTTTCTTAAATATAGCATGCCTGTTTTTTTCCAATTTTTTTTATGGTTACTATTATAATTTGTTTTTTCTGCCTTCTTGTTTGAATTTTCATGAGTTATTTTTTAAATGAATAATGCTACCTTATGTGAATCAAAATATTTGCAAATTCGATGGAAAAATTGTTTTATTATGATTTTTTTATTTGTTTATATATCTAGTGGCATATTTTAATGAGGTTCTGAAATATGATATTGAGAGTATTTCATATTCATTTGTTTAATAAAATGAATTAAAACTCTGGAGAAAGGTACTGTATAGAATTGTTGGGATGCAAAACCTTATTAGGATATAATGGTTTTAGAGGAATGATACATATTGATATACATATATGCATGCATATATATGTAATGGAATTGCAATAATTCATCACAGATTAGGATCAACCATACCTAATTGCTTCATAGGAGAACAAAAATGAGTCTTAGCTAACAGTTTTGGGAATATATTTGCAAATTGGTGATTAGTGATGTGATTCTGTGTGAACTGATGTCGAGTCTTGATGTACTTGGTATGAAAGTGTTTGCTAGGATTGATTGTTAAATTTATAGTACTATTATTGTCAAACATAATTGTGCTGAGCTATAATTTAAGTCCATAATCTTCTAATTGTTTTAGCCATAATATATATTTGATGCAGCTATTTATTGACCTCATTTTTAGCGCACACCTTCTCATCACATTTAGTGGGGTATTCTCTCGTCAACAACCACTGTGGTTGGCCTTAAGAGCCATCAATTGAGTTTGATTTATGACTCCATTGCTTGACTATGAATGATGATAGTTTGAGTCACCCATGATCACCTCGAGTTATCATCGTGCTCGAATTTTGGTTATGTGAGTAGCATCAAATCTAATACACCAAATCCGAAAGCCTCCTCATTCCCCACTTTCTCTCTCTAAACAACAACAAAAACCACATTAAGAATTTGTCCTACTACGTGGGGTCGGCTATATGAATCCTTTTTCTCCATTGTGTCATGTTAAAAGTCAAATTCTCATTTCTCTCTCTAAGCAAAGAGAGAAAATCATCTCCAGCATAAATCATCTTCTACCTCCAAACCCGTCTCCAAATTACTCTCCAAGCCTAATCTCTACATTCTCTCGCTATAAAAAAATTAGCCTCTTTCTTCCTATAAACAGAGAGTGAAAGAGTTTTTTCTCTCTCTAGATTCATCCCCCACCATCTCTAAACCCTTCCCTAAGTCTCATATATCCAAATTCCTCATTAAAAAAATTCAATCTTCTCTTTCTCTTTCTAAAATAAGAGGGAGTGGGCTCTTTTACTCTCACTAACATGCTTTTCCATAAAAATAAACACATGTACATGCATATTATTAGTATAAGAGTATTTAAAAAAGTATATATATGATGTGAAACATAAAGCAGTTGCAGGAATTGCATGAGAATTATAAAAAGTTAACAAGCTTGCTAATTAAAACTTAATGTTTTACAAGATTAGATGTTAGGATATCCCAGTTAAAGATCTTATAATAGAATTCAATTACAATAAAGAGTAGGGACAAATTAAAATAAGAACGAAAAATATTAAATGCTTAATTTTCCAATCATAAGAATCCACCGGTTAACAATTAGAATGATCCCTTGAGTTTCCCTTACTCATACTCAAGGGTATTTTAGCAGAAGAATAATTTATACAATACTAACGATGCCACCATAAGACAACATACATTTACAGTATTGCTCAATGAAGAGTTATTCAGAGAGGAGATCGTGGGTGGGTGTTGGAGGATTTGCCACTGAACGGGATGTTGATGCTCGTCGATGGCGGTTGTCAAGTAAAAGAAGATCCGATAGATGTAGTCTTCGACGGAGTGGTCGATCTCAAAAAATGATGTCGAAGAATGGCGACCTATGAACATCCACTCATCTTTGAGGATCGAAGACAAATCCATGATCATGCTCGGGGTCAGCCATCCTTGGAGAGTGAAAGTTCCTCCAATTTTGGGAGGGGGTTTGGGTGGCTGACGGCTTGTATGGAGAAAGAGGAGAGGAGTGGTTCAAGAGAGGCTATGAGGATGTAAGAATTAAGTCCAACAATTTTTGTAATTAATTGGTGGAGTTAATGAAAAGAGAGAGAGAGGATGGCATTCAAATTTTGAATTCCCAAAAGAGAGGGAGATAGGGGCGGCTAATTGGCTCTTTAATTGGAGCTCCCAATTGGGAAGGAAGCAATTAAAGAGAGGGAGAGCGGGGGTCGACCAAAAGGAGGGAAAAAGGGAAGGAGTCCTCATACGTTGAATGTGTCTACATACGTTGAATGTGGATTTAAAATCAAATCCTATTTAATTTCATATTTGCAATAATTGGGGGGCTTTCCTAAAATAAGTTATATTATTTAGGAAAGAATTTGAATTTCAAATTTATTTTAATTTGAATACAAAAATCTTCCAAATTAATGATGAAATATTTTAGGAAAGTAGTAAATCTAGGAGGGAAAGGGGTGGCTGGTGGCTAGGGTTTGGAGAGGAAGGCCGAAGGTTATGGTAGATGGTGGGGCTTGGGCTTGGTGGGGCTAGGGCCGGCAGTGTTGGGGCTCAGAGCCGGCGGTTTAGAGGGAAGAGGGTGGCAGTAGCTGATGGTTTGGAGGGGAGGGGAAGAAGATAGCCGATGGTTTCTAGGGAAAAGGGGGGTGGCCTGCAATTTGAGGAGTAAGGAGGAGATGAACCATGAGCCCGAACACTTCCTACGATTGACGAGTGATACGTTGCCCTCATCTAGGGACTTCAACTCTCTCAAGAGCTCTCAAGACTTTATTGATATTTTTTAATCACCAAGACACAAATTCTTGGTCAAACTACCTTGTGTTTGAACGCAAGTAACAACTCCTATGTACATATGCTTAACAACTTAAATATAAACATTATTGACTTCTTTTTTATCTAAAACCCTCTATAATACTTAACTTAAAATTTTATCATATGTTTTCTCTAAATTAATAATATCATATGTAGATCCTCTTTACTCTCTCTATACTTATCAAATCTCTCAACAAATGTATCTCTTTCATAGTAGATCTACTCGACATGAATCTATATTGATTTTGAGAAATATTAGTGTTACATCGTAACTTACGCATAATTACTCTCTCTCATAATTTTAATTTATAACACATTAATTTAATTATAATTCACACACTCTTAATGCATCACCTTTATTTTTAAAATAGGAACCAACACACTCCACATCAAACATCTTTTTAGCCTTCAAATAATGTTAAAAAGTTTATTAAGCCAAAAATTTCGTGATTTGATAAGTATTTTCACATTTTTATTGGAATATGCATAGGCATACTTTTTCACACTTGATTTTCTTTAATCTTCAACATTAATTTTACTAATACGACGATAAAAATAAAAATATCTATTTTTATTTTAGGTGCTAATGTCACTAAATTCAATTGTATTTTCACAACCTTTTATTAAAATTTTTATTGAAATATCTCTTCCACCTATATTAAGTATTCTTTTCAAAGAAAAATATTTTTAAATTTTTATTCTTAATATACTTCACTTGAACTATATCTTTATTTCTCCTATCACTAATCTATCTATACTATACACCTATGACTGCTTGTGCAGATTCCTTCTCATAAGTATCTAATAGGTTAAGTTTGGGTTGCGCGGAAGGAGGATTCCGTCCTCTTTTAGGAGAGTCCGTTCGAAGGTTGGGAAGAGCTTATTACTAAAGCATTGCGGGCTTCCTCAAGACACTAATTCCATGCGGTCGCCCTTCCCGGTTGGGGCAACCTCAGAAGTTCCTCTCTCAGTTGTACAAATTCTTATTTATCTCAGTCAAAGTCAAGTCTTCTGTGCGAGTCCTATTGAAATCAAACTAAAGACAAGCGTCTCATCCACAAGACATCTCTCATGACCTGATCGTTACCAAGCTCAGAGATCCATGTCAATCCATCATTCACCCCCTCTCGCTCTAATGGGGTGACCTCAGACCGGCTTCCTACCTCACGCCGATTTGAACTCTAGATGCCCACAAGTGCATCTTGACCGCATCATCTCCTACAAAATCGCCACACCACTTGGCATAGTTGGTCGAGCTACATCAAAGACCAATAGTATGACTATTGTACTCCATACACAATTTACTGTAGCTCTCCAAACCTTTTAAATAAGAGGGGGATATAAAAAAAGGTAGGATGGACAATTCAAGACCTCAATAATCCTAACGAAGAAAGATAGATATCAGGACCAAAACACAAGGAGATCCTAACAACAACAAGTGATGACGACAACACGACGAAATAAAGAGATGTTGTTTTTCCTAGTTTAGCTTAAACTCTTCAAGATAGAGCTCTCTCCCTCCCTCATTCTTATACTTATGGCTAGGATAATTAAGATTTGTCCAAATCTATTCTTTATCTTCCCTTCTTTCTTTCAGCATTCATCATCCTTACACATAGGTTCTTAGTTTATAGGTAAATTCATAAAGTATAGTCTGAAATCATCTACCAGGTAAATCTGGATTCAACATATACATTTTTCATCCTCTTTAGTTTCTAATCTATTATATGAATCACTAAAAGTTAAGTTTCTTGTATTATAAATTTTCTTTCTTAGAATCTCTATAATACCCTCTATATTTTTTCTATTTATTTTAGCTTTTATATTTAAAATAATTTTTATAGCAAAGTTTATTTATTTTTTATCTTTTCTTGCAAATTTTAATTCTCTACCAAATGTTTTTACTATTTGATGTTTTTTCTTTTGATTTTGTATGCCCATATTTTACAATATTTTTATTATCACTAACTATTTTTTCGTACATAATATTAGTTTCCTTATGAACAATTCAAATTTCAAAATTTTAAATCTTAGTCTAAAAATATTTTTATTTTTATTTTTTAAATGCTTCCATATAATTTAAGGATAATATTTTATTTTATTTTAATTTTTTTACCCCTTTATGTTAAAGTTCATAATT